AACCTCAAGGGAAGCAGGTCGCGGAGATGACAAGACGCCTGATAGTAATTCTATTAATAATTTCACCGAATAAACCCACAGCCATGGCCGGACGTACTATTGGGCTTGAACGGGCTGCAGCCCAGGGGCCCCGCCTTGTAGGGGGCCCCGCGTTAACCCATTTACATTTGTTCAGTTATGTGCCGGTCAGAAATTATTAGCCGCATTTCAACTGCGCACACGGGCCAGACGAGGCTAACAACTTCCAGCTTCCAACTACGACATTCGAAGCCATAATCAAACAGCATAAACTGGAATTTTATTTATTTTTTCACATAGAAAAAGGACACGTAGTAAATCACGTCTGAGCTGCGCCGAATCGCCGATTAATTTGCGATCACATGGCTACTTTAAACGGTTCCATTAAGCCTTTAGCCCAAAAGAGCGCACATTTACATAGATAATGATAAATTCTCACATGTTCAAGCCTCACTTCTTTACAGAGGATGATTCTATATTATATTAATGAAATTAATAATTAATCTGAAGAGTTTTGAGTGCTCTCTCCCGTCCAAAGACTATAGAATATCCTAATAGGGACTTTGTACTTTGTCCCGTCTCACTACCTCCACACAAAGTGGAGCAGAAATTTCATCAAAACGATTTAAAAAAATTAAAATAGCCATTTACAGGGCTCGTACGGTCATGAAAAACCCAGAAAGCTTTGGAATAGGAGTGGAAATTTATTTTCCAAATCTCTATATAATAGAATATATGTTTAATCACGTCCTGAATCTCGGTGCGGGATTGCGCATTTTGGTTTTACTCATTTTCGCAGGTTTCGCACGTTTGGAAAATTCCCGCAAACATTTATTTAATATACAATGTAGTAGGTTAGATGAGTTAAAAAAATTCAATCTAAGTCAATCATTTGAAAACAGCGTGTGTGGTTCAGCTGTACCACGAACTGTCACTTGCCTAATCGGGTCAGTGTTGCATCATCACAAAAGTTTATCATTTGCACGTCTTTTTAAACCATTCGGTACTCGCGCGCTCCAAACTACTTTTCTGGGCGCTTACGGTCACATCCAAAGCGCCCGCACATGAAGCCGCGCAAACACTTCCAGAAAAAGTATGCCTACGATATAGGAGTTAGCCTATCACACAAACTAGAGTCCTATTTTTCTGAATATCTGCACGATGGCAAACGTACAATAAACACAGACACAAAATTCTGTTTTGCCCCATCAATGTGTCTCTAAGCAACACAGTGTTTTGTTTCTCAGCATTACACGGACCAGTAAATGGTTCAAACAGGCTATAAGTACAGTCGTTTGCTAAGTTAAATGAATTAGCATTTTAAACAAATCGGTTGATTTAAGGATCCAACTCACTCATTAAGACAGTCACTTGCTGCCACCTACTGGCAGTTGTAGTTTCATATTTTAAAAAGCAGCTCATTTCATTTTTGCAATCATTTAATATTTCTAGATTAAAATGTTGTATTTAAACTTAACATAACCTATGCAAAATCCATCTATGGATTTTGTTTATAGTGATTTCATTGTATTGTTAATAGCCAACATGTTTTTTTATTCAGATTGAATTTATTCAATTTAAGAATCTGACATAAAAAGACACAGATATGACAATACATTTTCATAATAATACAT